ATGCTCCATCTGTTCTGCTGTCTCACGCTCCAGCGCTCCACCCCCATCCGTCCGTCCATCCACGGCGCACTGCACATGTCCACTTTAAGGGCACGGTCTGGAACAGGCCAGGGCTGCATTTCTCAAAAGCATTGTTGATTGTAGAAAACCATTGGTGCCAATGGTTCTACAATCTACTTAAGCTTACCATGCTTTTTGAATTTGGAGATTATGGTAAATTGTACTTATTTTGTTTTCTGGGAAACATGTAAGGATCTTCTGTAGCTCCTGAAGGGCAGTACTAAATGAAGAAAAAAAAAAGATACTTAAAAAAAGAAAAATGTACACATGCTCATCTTGTTTAAAAGTTTGTTTAAAAGTGTTATCTAGCCAAACCATCGGTCATTTTATAAAATAAAAATGTATATGCTTTATAAACTCAAATGCTAGTCGTACACTAGCTCGACTTCACGCATTACGTAATCACGTTGGAAAGGTCACGCGTGACATAGGCGGAAGCACCGACCCAGCGTTTACAAAGTGAACGTGCAAAGAAAGTCAAACGCCCTTTACAAAAAAAGGTAAAAGAACGATGTTGGTCGATTTTGAAGTTGGAGGAGAAAATGAGATGGAGTTTTTCGGCCTACCCTACCTTTCTGAACCGGAGTAGACAGACGAAGAGCTAACCGCGCGTGACCTTTCCAACGGGATTACGTAATACGTGAAGATGCGCATGCGCAAGCAGAGCTAGAGCAAGACGAACATTTGTGGTTAAAAAGTATATAAATGTTATTGTTTTAAGAAAATGACCGATGGTTTGGCTAGATAAGACCCTTATTCCTCGGCTGGGATCATGTAGAGCCCTTTGAAGCTGCACTGAAACTGCAATTTGGACCTTCAACCGTTTTATATATATATATATATATATATATATATACTGTATTATTTAATATTGCACAAATGTTTCATTTTACATTTACACTGCCGCAAATCTTACAATTTTTCCATACTGTACTTTTAAATATTGTGATTTTAGTATAGTTTTTATTTTTTTATTTATTTACACAGAATTAACATATCTAGAATTTTAATATTGGTTCATTAATTTATCGTCTTGCTCTAGCTTTGTGTGAAGAAAACACTGAATATTAAGTCATTATCTTTAAGTCATATACTTTCATAGTAACTTCATTTCTAGAATGCACTTGTCACTCTCTTTCATAAAAATAAGTTTTCAAAGATTCCTTGGGGGGTTTTTTGTTTGTTTGTTTGTTTTAGTTTTTTTTTCTCTCTCTCAGGGGACCTATGCTAAGAATGAAAATCGGCCCATGATGAAGCACCTGCACCAGCATGAGGTCAAAGGTGTTGCTAAAGTGGACCAGATGCCACTGAGCGTGCTCTACAAGGTGAGATTGCATTTATCTATACAGCAGCACACAAGCCCAGCTGAGGTCCTCACTGACACCTGCAGCACCCTATCAGTGCAGAGCTGTGAAATAACCTGAAAATCTGCATTCCATCTGCATCTGATCATGCTTGTTTTATGTCAGGATAATGTCTGAAACCCAAGGAGAATTTTTAGTAGTAGTTGACCGTCTATGGGTCTGCCGTAGACCAATCAAAATCAAGTATTCAAGCTGTGTAAAAAAAATATGTATACTTTCACCATGTAATATAAGAGTTTGGTTCTAAATATGTTCCCCATAAAGTGATCCATCAACAATCACCCTGTGTAGACTGAACCTGTATTAGCTGTATTGTTACTGGTTTTAGATAAGCTATAGTTGTGTGTAGCAGTGTCAGTGCACTGCTGTATTTGCACAGGCCAGTGAAAGAGAGAGAAAGAACGTGTGGTTTGCTGACAGTTAAGCAAGTAGATGGACGGAAGCTAATGGCCTGTAAAATTAGGAAAATGTCACTCTGGATCTAGAGTGGATGATGGGAGGAGAGCAGGAAAGCAGACTGTGTAGATTGAGAAGGTGAGTTTTTCTGAATAAGACTGCACGGTAAGGAATAGTTAGAAGGATTGTAACAAATGCCCAGTTGCATTTTATTGATGTAATGATCACTCATAATGTTATGCAGATATTATAATTTGTAAAATATGAAAAATAAAATGAAAAATGTTAATATAAAATTGAAAAATGTTTATACTGCATATAATAAAATTGTAATAATTGTAAGACAATTTAATTTGGATACACACACACACACACATATATTTTTATATATATATACATCAAATCGATTAATCGCATCCAAAATAAAAGTTTGTGTTTACATAGCTTCATTCGGGTTATGGAAGTCATCGGCAGTGCTGCACAGGACTTGCTCGAGAAGGATTTTACATTTTGTTTTTGATCACAAAACCAATAATGTCACCTAAAGAAGTGTGTTTTTGGTTGTGAAGGAAAGATAACCTTGTTCAGCTTCCCAAAGAACCCAGCATTATGGGAACAGTGGACGCAGTTCCCATAATGCTTTGCGTGCTCCTGACTCTTTAGCTCCGCCCACAGCATGCCTCCAGGTGCTCGGCTGTTTTCGGAGAGAATCATAAAGCTGTATCTGTCTTTTATAAATCTGATCATAAAACTAAAGACTCTTTGGAGATATGAAGGATGCAATACTATCCTATAGGTACTCAAGATTAACATGAGATTGGCAGAAACTGTGTGTGTTATGTCCCCTTTAAGAAAATTTGTGTTTTTGTTCTCTCAGGTCCGTTTTAACCCAAACATGGATGCATACAACTGGATCCTGTCAGAGTGTGTATGTGTGTGTGTGTGTACTATGTATATTTATATATAAATACACACACATACATGTATGTATTTAAGAAATATTTACATGTATATACAGTATATATTCAATGACTTGCAATATATATTCAATTTCAAATGCTTTATTGCTAGCAGTATAGTCCATTGACCCACAGAGGACATGCAGGACTAGAAGTTTAAACAGACCTTTGTAATTACTAATTAATCTGAGTAGAGGTTCAGACC